CACCATTTTGTCCATGTCGTCCGCTCTGGCAGCTGACAGGATTTCCTGCCACACTTTGGTAAGTATGCGGAAATGCTGAATGCTTGGAGTGTGTTGGTCCACGTCAACTTTGTGTCTCACATGAAAAGAAAGTGGGATTAGTTCTCCAAGCTTCTCCTTCAGATATTCAACTTTTTCATCATCCGGTTTGGCGTGACACTGGAGGGGAATGAGATGCTCGGTGAGTGGTGAGTGGAGCAGAGTCTTTGATGTGTGTCTGTTAAATAACACACTCATTTCTTCAATCATCACACGGGCTTTGCGTCTTCCAGGCAATCTTTTGTCATCGCACTGTGAATAAGCCCACTCCGGAAGTCTTCTTTTCTTTTGAGCTTTTGCAAAACGATAGGCCACCGTGACACAGTCTTCAACTTCCCCGAAACTGGGCGGCCCTCTATATCTCTTAGAGATGATGTCCTCTGCCTGTTCATAAGTTAGCTTCCTGTTGGAGTTGATCAGGGACAGCTGAAACCTGGGCTTTCCTTCGACGTTGTCAGTGTCCTTTCGCACTTTGAACATAAGTGACACCACCCTGCGGTCTCTACCTGGCAGGAGACTGAAGAGCTCAGTGCTCTGTTCTTTAGGGAACATATGAGTGGGTTCTTCTCCTTTTCCATAGCAGCTACAGCCACGTTCTCCTGCAATCTTATCTAATTCACCACCTGGCTCCACAAAACTTGCCACGTCTGAAATATGGATGGGTGACACTCCAAATTCCTCTTTCAGCAGCCAAAGCCTGTCACCCGAATATCCTGTTTTGGGGAGAATATCTATGACATTCCCCAAAGGATAGAAACAAAGATCTTTCCAGCCAATGACCTGTACTAAAAACACACAGTCTCTAACTTCTTTCAGATGCCGACATCCTGTGATAGTCCAGCACCCATCACTTTGCTCCCACACTGGAATGAAGTTACGTCTTCTTTTGTTGATATGTATGCAGATTTTGGGTGCATTTCTTTTGACGGGTATCATCAACCTAGGGATAAATGGTCGTGTGCTTTCTTTCTTGCTGTGATCTTCATCCTCGAGAAAGCACAAAAATTC